TAATTTAATTAATAATTTAATTTTTAATTAATAATAATAATTATTAATAATAAAATAATAATAATAATAATAATTTAATATTCTTATTTTTAATTAATTTTCGGCCTTTCTTCTTTTATTAAACAACATATTTTCATCATCACTACTACTACTACTTGTTTCTAATAATTTATCTATAATAAATAATATATTCTTTCTTTATCCACATTTTGTAATTTTTTGCTGCCTAACTAGTTTTATTTGTCCGAACACCAAACTGCATTGACAAAAATGTCAGTGCAATATTTCTTACACTCGTTTGGTTCTTTCGGTTGGTTCGAATACAAATTCAGCACTACACAAGGTTAGTTTTCATTTACCGAATACGGTAATCTAAGCGCACTGATACGGTGCGCACATTCCGAATGCGTGGCACCAAAAAAATTCGCACTGATGCGCACTAGAGATCCTCTAACAGAGACTGGCCATTAGGCGAGTCCGGCATTTCCTAGCGAAATCCTACAAGTGAGAGAGAAATATAGGCCATTTCACTCTTTCACTCACACGAATATGTGCGTTCGTATGTGATCGTTTATTCAAGTTGATTTGAGTTGATTCAAGGTTATGTTCGTGGTTTTTGCTCAGTACAAAATAATAACAATAAAAATGAGTGGTTGCACTGCACAATTCTGGAAAAATTATTTAATATCTGTCTTTAGTCAGGTTACGGCTAAACATGTTTTAAATTATCAATTGTTTCCTAAAATTATTAGAAAGTTTGTCGTATTCAAATTAAGAACATTAAGTAAGAAAAATACTAATATTAATAGAAGATATGACAGTAAATCGTTGGTACACACCTTTTTTAAATAAATTTTACAAATGTTAAGTGTTTGTACTTTTGTCACTGATTTCCTAACCTTACTTTAATTTTATTTGAAAAAGATTTAATAGAATTAAGAAAGAGAGAATATTAAATATAGAAATTATTTAACGTATAAACAAAAAGAACGAAGACAATATAAGAGTCAATGTTTAAAATTTAATAACAAAGTCAAAAATTAAATCATAAATGTCAAAAAACAGCTATTATAACAAAGTTATTTAAAGATAAAGATGTATATAACTGACAATAAAACTTGACATGTTTTTTTTATTTAACGTATATTATTTATATTGATGTAAAAAGCACGGTTTTAATATTTCTATAATATTTATCATTACATACTATTTACATTCCAAGTAAATGCAGTAATTGAAATTTCAATACGAGCTGGAATCGCTAGGAAATGGCGGACCAATCAAAAGTGGCCCCCTGATGGCCAGTCTCTGTTAGAGGGTCTCTAATGCGCACTAATGGCACAGTATATCCAGTAGCGCAACTCTCTGTCGGCACCTTTGATGTTAGTGTCACACAAAATGAGTGCGCATGCGCGAAATAAGCAACCTGCGCATGCGCGCCACCTAAACTTCTTTCTCACTTGCTCTTTACTCTCCATCTTTCCATCTTTTTCTAGCTACTCTATCTCATTTATATGTACATTAAATTAATCTAAATGTAATAAAAACTTAAAAAATAGACCATAATTGTAATGCATTGTAAAATAAAAAGATAAGGAAATATAAATTTATGTAAATATTGTGTAATATAAATATTATACCGTAAAAATATTTTAATAAAAGACTGCGACATATAGAATGCGTCTTTTCTCGTTAGATTGTTACCGTTTTTGTAAATTACTTGCATCACACAGAACGCAGATTTTCTAACTAAAACGTAAGCAATCCAGCAGAAAAACAAACATCATATATCGCAGGCTTAAGATATTAATATAAACAACAAAAAGTAAAATTTTATGTTATACCTACGGATTACATTTAAGAAAATCATTACTGTAATTAATTACAATTATAAACAATATTTAATAATAACTTTTTTTAAATTAAATAAGATAATAATTTTTATATGCATATAGAATAAAAATAATCAACTGTGATAAATAAAATTTTAATCTTAATATAACAGTAGGAAGCAAATATTTATCAACATATTATACATATTTTAAAATATCATTACACATATGCCTATATATGTACAAAAATACTCTCTTCTTCAGCAACACCTGAAACAAAGCTAAGATCAAAAGTGCAAAAGTACAAGAGAATAGATAATTTATACAATAGTTGTATAGATTAACTATTCTCTTAGTAATCGTTCCTCGGTTTCACTTAATTTTTTCCACTTTTTCACTATTTTATTTCCACAAACTTTTCGGTCACAAACTAAATTCGTAGTTTCTCGAACTAACACAACTCAAACAGATGGAAATTATACTAATTTCCTTCAAATTTGAGCTTTCTAAGCACACACTGGCACACACCTAATCACAGGATCGACAGGATCTTTAAACGGAGCCGTTTAAATGGTCCTGACAAAGAGTGACAGAGAACGGATAAGAAGAAGTGAGAAAGAAGTTTCGGTGGCGCGCATGTGCAGGTTGCTTATTTCGCGCATGCGCACTCCATTTTGTGTGACATAAAATCAGGAGAGTTGCGCTACTGGATATACTGTGCTAGTGCAGTCTGTCGAATTCGCCAAATCAGTTCTTATATTCAAGACCGTCTTAAGTTCAGTCTTAAGATGTCACGAACCAATCAAATGGCTGCATTCGCGTTTTCAGATATACTTAAGACAGTCTTCAAATAAGAACTGATTATGAATACCGGCCTTTAAAATGAGAAAAATATATGTTTGATATTTATTGAGAGAAAGAGTTCTAGTGCAGAATCTAATATAAGAATAAAAAAATAGACTTATTATTGAATAGATTAATAGACTCTAATTACCGCAATTAACCCTTCGGAATGTTAAAGATATATATATTTCAATAATACTATAATTCAAATATTAAAATTTTTTTTCAACTTTTCTCTTAAATTCATTTTGCAGCATATTGACTCATTTCAATAGATTTTATAGTTTTATAGAAATCCAATATAGTAACATTTTTTACGTACGTACGTATTTAGAAGCAAATTTGTATGAATCAACGTTAACATAAATTGTATAAATTGCGTCAAAAAATTATATAAAAATTTAATGATCACTTTGCGCACTATTTTTATTTATATGGTAAAATAAGAGCATTTTTTAATTTCACTGATTAAAGTGAATTATTTTATTAATGCATTTCTAGTAACAACGTAGGTGATTTTTCGAGGTAACGGAGGCTATTATCGCTACATTACTAGGAACATCCAGGATGTCGTAATCTGAGATGTCATCCAAATCATCCGCATCGAAGTTACTGCGGCCGCATCTAATGACAAATTGTAAGCAGTTGATGATCAGCTTTTTTGATGACTTCCACATAATCATGTGCGAACATTTTTTAACAGAACCGTCGAGTAACGGACGTGTGAATTACATTGTAACGAGTTGTGGGGTTTCGTGTAATGTAAATGTTGACAGAAATGGTTAGACAAATATACAAGTGTACGTTGAAGTTCGTTAACAGGGACATAACAAAAGCGAACTTAATGTATAATATACAAAATATGGCATTTAAATCTAAAAAATTGATAAAAATTGCTTTTACCCATACTGTTTTATTCAGAAAGTCCTTAATATATTTAAATTACAGAGAAAGTTTTATATAATTTTAGTTATATCAAATAGTTTTTTTTACCGTAAATATATAATGGTCTAAATTGGTCTAAATCTATACTCTTTTTCTTAAACTGGTCTAAATCTATTCTGTCTGTGTTTTACAATGGTATCGCATGGATAGTGAGTGCACACGTGCTTTGGCGCAAATAAAATAAATATAATTTGTACTAGCGTGATATCTTTGTAATTATAAATTGTAACTCTTTTTAGTAGAAATTGTAATACAATGAAATTAAAATTAACAGATTATTCAAATAGAATTAACAAATAAGGAGTTTACATCACATTAAATAAATTATATTACAATGAAAATTATAGCTAATTATATAGCACACATATATGTAATTATAATGATCAAAAACCAATTTTACAAATTTTCTATATTTCTTTACAAGCGTATCGAGATAGTAAAATCAAATACAATATTAAAATATCGGAATGCCTGTATGTTACACGTAAACATTTTAACATTTGTTGAAAATGGATGTCCACATTATTTTGAAAATAACTACATCAAAAGAATAGCTTTGCAAAGACTTGTTTTTATAAAATTAGTAGAATAATGATTCTTTTCACAAAAATAAAAAAATGTATATGTTGAAAGTACGCGAAGAATATGTTGAATGTCACTATCGCCTGCCTCTTCCTCTACCTCGCCCACCCCTGCCACCTCTACCTCCTCTGGCGCCACGTCCTCTACCACGGGCAGTACCTACAAACAAATAGTATAATCAATATAAGTATAATACAATATAATAGTATAATCAATGTATATCAAATAGCATAATCAATATAAGTAGAATACAGTATAATCAATATAACTTTACAAAACTTTATTATATAATAGCGATAATTGTAAAAAAGTACAAAAAGAAAAAAATATCTCTTATCAGTTAAAGTTAAAAGCATAATAGGATCATCCCTGGGTGGATTATCCTTTTCAGCACTGAATATTTTTAACAAATCAATTGTGGAACATTATACTGCCTGTAGTTTGCTTGAACAATGTATATCTGTTTATTAAAACCGGACACATAAACATATGTCACATACCTCTGGCAGCTTCCTTCTTCTTAGCTTTAGCCTTCGGTGTATCATCAATTAATAATGTTTCCAATGGCAATGAATCAGGCAAAATGTAATATCTTATATTGTTTCCTCGTAAACTAAGGGTTTCCAATTGTATTGGTTCGCGATTCTTTATTGTCATTTTTACCGTTTTTAGATGTGTGTTCATGGCAACGTCAACACCTGCAGCAAAATAATTTATTAATAATAAACGACATATATGAAACCATATGTAAACATGTAGTTAATAGCAAATTTAATTGAAAACACTAGCACTGACCCATATAGCAAAGCTATTGTACAGTGATTTAATCTGAGTGTAAAAGTAAAATAAAATTTAAAATTATAAAATACATACTTTATCTAACAGCACAACAAAATGTATTAAGAATTTTATAGTTTAATTAGTTTTTATATTTATATTAAGCACATATTTTTACATTTAATATTTGTGTACAATAGCTTCAGTACACCAGTGTATCTACTTGAATTCACCATAAGAAATAAAAAAGCTTAAAATAATATATAACTAATAATAATACATACAGGAAATGGAAACAATCAATTACTTTACACCATTACTTTCTTTATCGTTACTCTATTATAACAATTTTACAAAAATAAAATATTTTATTACTAACATAATAACATAGGGGTCGAAAGGTTATTCAATCGTTACTTGTAACAAGCTGAAAAGTTACTCGTTATAGAAAAAATTAACTTGGCATTTATAACTTGTTACTTTTTAGTCATTACTTATAACAAAATAATCATTACAAGATAATCATTATTATAAATAACTTTTTTCAACAATGCCTGTTTCCACCAATGCAGATTAACTTTAATCTCGGTTTAACTTACTGTTCATCTTTTTCTAATTTTTAGAATTAGAAAAAGATGAAGAGCAAATTGAACCGAGATTAAAGTTAATCTACATTGGTGGAAATGGACATAAGTAAATATAATGCAAGTTACATAAAGTAGTTTTCTCGGCATTACTACAATCTCAATATTTAGTTAGTTATCACTATAGTCATAAAAATACATCATTATCAAACTATTTAAGTAATAGAAAAAGTAATAGATTAGTAACTCTTCCATTCGCTGATAATACATTTTCATGAAAACATATTCTTACTCAAGGAAATCTTAAAAATTCATAATTATAAATAAATCTACCATTTTATTAGAGTAATTAATTTTAAACACAGCGACGCAGATTTGTTTCCAACCTAAAGCTACTCGAGGCTTATGTTACAATAGGCTTGTTCTTTTTGCCTGCACTGTCTGAACTGGTACAAGTTGAAGTGAATCAAATATATATCTGTTCCACTTCAACATATTAAAATTTGTGCACAAGTTTAGTAAAAAGAACAGGCCTAATAACAAAATATCATTTTGACATACCTGTAATAGTACCAGTAACTTGAGTGCCATTTTTTAATTCTATCGTCACAGTCTCGTGACTAAGTTTCATCAAAAATCTGCAAAAACAACATTCCTTAAATTTTCAAGAAATATCAATGTTTTAACGCAAAAACATTTAAAGTATAAATTAGGATGCACGCAATTATTTGCAATTCTGACAGAAATCATAAACATAAATTCGTATGCATAAAAAATTCCATTTTTATACTATATCTCCTTTTATCGTATAATATTCCATATATCTTACGAACCTTACTAGCTTCATAATGTGGTTAGATTAATACTCCACATACAAAATGATCAACCGACACGACACCGGCAAATTGTTACAGAGTACCACCAGAGAGAATCCTGACATCCTGAGAGCGGCAATGCTCGGAATTTAGCTGTTGCTGTTACTTTATTTCGAAGCGCCTCTATGTCCACAAAACGTCGACGTTGAACTATGTAGCCAATGTCCACAATCGCATCGGTAATATCCACAAAACTTTGGTTCAAATCTTCCATATATCGGAGCCTAGTTTACACCTAGTTTACACTAGAGTCCTAGATATCAGAGAAGCGCAACCGGCTTAAGTCAGTATCGCAAAATTACTAAGAAAAGTATTAAAAATGGCGTCGTTTGCAGACGAAATATGAAATCCACCAATCGTCTATTAGTCAGCCATTTTTAATACCACTGAATGAATATCATGATTGGCTGACAGTCAGCTAATCACATATATGTAATACTACTATATGGCTAATGGGGCGTGGTTTGCGATCGAAACACTACGGTGCCGCCAATGCTAATTCTGTCCTTATTTATGTTCAGTTTGTGTAACGCGCAGGCGTCAATTTGTTGTGCGATACACTTATGTAGCACTCTACATGTGATATTTTGTAGGTTATTACCATGGTATAATTGATTACAATCAGTGATTCCAGTAATTTCAATGAATTAAAGATTAATTTTGCTCACTATTATGTAAAAACATTTTGGGATTTGTCACCGTTTGTGAAGAATGTCGTATTGTATATAGCAGGTTATGTGTGTAATAAAGTGTACAAAAAAATATATTGTTCAACTTGTAAATTACAATTATTAGACAATACTATGCCACTGTTATCGAACATAAAGAATCAAGGACCATATATAATGCCAGCATCAGATGTTTGTTTCATCATTTATAAAACAGCTGAAAAGATTATACGGCAAAATTCTCATTGTCTTCGTTACGTTTTATTTATATTAATATATAACTTTATTACTTGAAAAGATTTTACGGAAACCAATATTTTTACATATATCCATTCTTCTCATAACATAATAAACTATTGCTAACATCTTGTTTTGTATTAAATACAAAGCAACTAATTTTGCTTAATAAAGCTGTTGAATTTAACGCCGCACCTGCGCATTTGAACGATTTGAACATCTCTCCCTGACAACCAATAAACGGACATCTATTATCCTTCTATGTTTCTTCTTGTCGCACTCATATAAACCACGCCTCACTAGCCATATAGTAGTATTACATATATGGCTAATCAGGACGCAGAACATCGGTTGCGCTTCTCTGATATCTAGGACTTTAGTTTACACTAGAGGTTTAAGCGGGGAGCACAGACTTTTACATAACGCATAAACAATATACATAAAGAATTTGATTGGTCCATTGACTCATGCATAAGAAAATGGACCAATGAAATTCCTCATGCTCATGCTTTATGCGTTAAGCAAAAGTCTGTGCTCCCCGCTTTAGGGTGCAAACCCATGCAGTGAAATAGCGTAACGCGGAACGAGAGCAGAACCAATCACGAGTTTCTCTAGAAACACGGAATGCTCGTTATTGATTCTGCTCTCGTTCCGCATTACGCTATTCCCTTGCATGGGTTTGCACCCTAAAGCGGGGAGCACAGACTTTTGCATAACGCATAAACCATATACATAAAGAATTTGATTGGTCCATTGACTCATGCATAAGAAAATGGACCAATGAAATTCCTTATGCACATGCTCTATGCGTTATGCAAAAGTCTGTGCTCCCCGCTTAAAGCTATATCCACACAAACTTGCATAGCCGCATAAATGTATGCATAAAGAAATTGATTGGTCCATAAGCAAATATTGCATAAGAAAATGAACCAATCAATTTCCTTATGCATTCGTTTATGCGGCTATGCAAATTTGTGTGGATATAGCTTTACAGCCCCAACACACACTTTTGCATTACGCATAAAGCATGTACATAAAGAATTTGATTGGTCCATTGACTCATGCATAAGAAAATGGGCCAATAAAATTCCTTATGTACACCACAGTATATACAGTAGCGCAACTCTCGGATTTTCGCGTGTACGAAATGGAACTGCACATGCGCGAGCTATGGGTGTAACCAATAACGTAACAGAATCTTTCTGTCGCACTTGCTCTGTTTGCTTTTCTATAGTCTTCTCTGTCGTTGAAATGCCCCAACGGCCAAAATTGGCGGTAAATGTGACAAAAGTGAATTCAAGGCGATTTAAAGTAAAAAGTCAGAGCAGTGTTATTGTTAAATATAAGACGTGTTAAAGAAAGTGAATAGAAAAGTGTTTTGTGTTTAATGTTTAGTGAATATAGTGCTAAGTGAAAAGTGAAAGTTAACCAAGAACGATTATTTTTTCTGTACAGAATAGTTAATCTGTATAGATTTTACAGATTTTCAATTCTTTTACAGAAAACTGCACTTTTGATCTTAGCTTTGTTGCAGGTGCTGCTTCTTAGAAGATAAAAAAAATATATATATATAAGATAAAACTGATAAAAAAAAATACAAAAAGATGTTAGCCCATAAATCGAAATGGTGTGTTGCAAAGGGGTGCAACAATAATATCACAGAGAAAAGACATTTTTTTTCGTTTCCAAAAGAGCATGACAGGTACATATTGGTTTTAATTATATTTTTAAGTATGTATAATTCAGTTTTTATATTATATTGTAATTTATCTGTAATTTTTCTATTTTTTGTACACACATTATAATCTACACACATTTAAATCTATAATCTATCTATACTAGATATATGTGTATTTTTATATTAACCATTTGTTGTAACACTTACAGATGGTTACAATGGATACATGCATGTCAAAGATTAGATTTACAAGTGATGGGTCCAGAGTACGCTTATCGCAATTGTAGACTGTGCCATTTGCATTTTGAAGAAAAGTGGTATAAAATAGGCAAAATTAGAGCTCATCTTTATCCTGATGC